AAAAAAAAAAAAAAAAAAGATAAAAAAGGTAATAGGAATGGTTTTGATTATAATTTAGATTCCTTTCAGGTTGAGCAATTTAGTTCACTAGGTACATTAATGAAAATTATTAAGGTTTCCTGGAATGAATTAGCATTATCCATTTCCATGGTCCCACACTTAATTAGATTTCATGTGAGGATCAGAATAATTCCTATTGTTTGGTGTTAAAATATTTCTAGCTTTCACATTTTAATGTATTTTTTCTTATAGACTTATTTTCTGAAGACTTGTGATTATGTAAGGATCCTTTGCTTTTCTTTTTGAAAACGGAGACACGTTACTTTCACAGGGCAGAATGAAACGAATGTGAAAACCATAAGAAGTTCTTGAAAACTTCATATTCATCACAGTAMAAATTTGAAAAATTACTATACCAGATTGGGTTTTAAAACATAGTGATTTGGGGCAATGTTATGAGTTTCAGTACCTATTTCTGTAAGAAGTCAAGAATTTATTATCTCAGTGACCTCCCTGCAATATTAGCATAGGCAAAGTAGCAGAAAATACAACCCATCATGTTGTTAATATGGAAAGGAAGTGAAGATTTAACTGTGATAGCAATCTATGTTGACAGGTAGTATGAGATAAAGCTCAAGCATTTATGTTCTTGATTGATTTAAAATGAGTTTGAATAACTTAGAAAAAAAAAATCTATCAAACCCACCTGGAAATCTCAAGATCCAAAAATGGTTCATAAAATTTCAGTGAATCTTTAAGATAATCTTAGGAAGGAGACATTCTAGAGAATGTAAGTTATAAAGAGATATTAGAATATATGAAAAGATTGAGCAAAGAGGACATCCTATGTTCATGGAAAAAAAAAAATGGGGACAGAAGTGGAAGAAGAAAATTAGTAAGTTAGATAAGAGAAAGTTCAAATATTCAAAAATGTTCACTGCCCACTTATAAGCTATTTTGAAAAGTAGTTAAGCTAATCATTTAGTGTATTCATAGCAGTGACGTAYGTTTAAGCTGTAACACTTAGAGTTGTGGCTGTGCTTTGATCTCTCTGAAGTTTAGGGATGCCTGAATCCTTGCTTGAGATCAGCTACTGCTATAATCGARGCATATTTGATTTGTAATTAGTGATACTTACAGCATCTCTTCCCTTGATTATACATTCTTCTGCCTGCAGAGGTGTACTAGGCCAATGAATCTGAAAAAAATGCACAGAAAATCATATAGCTAGGACCATGTATTGTTCAAGGTTAATCCAGCTTTTCCACTATTATTATTCCTGAAATGTAACTAATTTATTTTGGGTAACTCAGCAAACTCTATACTAGCCAATGGAATTTTGGAGGACTTACTATACTAAACATTTTATAGAAACTCAGCATGAATAGCCCTGATAAATTTATAGTGATTTTAACAATTTCCCATAAAATATGAATTTTGAAGCAGTGATTTCTTGTGAAGACTAGCAAGTCTAAGTGACACTTAAGGAAGACGATAGTTTACAGCAAAGTTAATGAGGGTCAGTGATTAACCTCCTGGAAGCAGGATAAGCTTTTCATAGTCAATTACTATAAGTAAAGCCAAGCTGCACAAGCAGGCAGATTTTTTTTTAGTTACTTTTCCATTACCTACAGCATAAAAATCTATGTTTCATTCCAGAAGAATGATTTGTTTTGATAAGAACAATGCTAAGCCATGACTAAATGTACTGGAATTATGACTTCACCTCTTAGAATTTTTAAAAGTGAAAAAACACAAACATGTCCACTTTGGTGATATAAGGCTCAGCTAAAACAAAAGAACTTGAAAATTAARGAGACAGAATCAAAGAATGGATGTGATCATTAAGAAATTTTGCCAACACTACAACTAAAAATTATTTCTGTCTGGCAAACATTGGATGTGGTGGAGGGGGGAAGGAGGATGGAGTGTGTAATTTAATTATTTTAATTTTATGAAATATTAAATAATCTGAGAAAAACTAAGTCATGGGGATAAATCAGGTTTATCAGATGATGCTTAAAAGCAGGAGGTCTGCTGTCTGTGACTGTAAACTTCAGCACCTGCAAGTACATAGATCTCAGTCTCCAAGTTGAACCACCTGCTTTCAGGGAGCATCTAAATGCTCTAAGGCTTACAAGAACACTTGCTTTGGGTCCCAAAGTCTCATAGTCATTTCTGTATGATCATTCCTTGCCATGGGAAGAAAATATCTCACCCCTGTATAGGCTATATAGTGCCTCTGAGTATCTTGCAAAAGTGTCCTGTGAGGACACTTCTCCAGCTTCCCACTCGAAGTGTTCCTCGTTCACTCAGTGTAAAGCTTGGTGATCACAGTCMTGTACTTCCTCACTGGAGGATGGAATAGACAACAGTTTGTTTTTAACCCTAAAGCACTGATTTACAAGTTAGGAGATATGATCTCTTGGATCTCTTGAGCCTCGAGAAGTTTGTTCCCATCACTTACAGTTCCCAAATGAGTGCTCCAACTACATGGTTAAAATCAAGCTTATACCCACTCCAGTGGGTATATCTGTGATTCAAGGAAGTATTAGGAACTGGGAAACCACAGGGAGAACAAATAAAAACTCTTAACTCTGTAACCCAATATTAAATATGCTACGTGTAATGGATTATTTTGTATTTGGATATTTAATCTCAGTGCTATTCAAAAGATTTTATACACATATCCTCATTTAAGAGATATAGATTAAATGCATAAGCTGAATTAGCAAAGAAACAAAACCAAAAGTGGGAGCCCACTGCCCCTTCTTTTTCTTCTGGAGGTTGAAAAGAAGCTGCTTGTAAGCAAAAATAATTTGGTCTTTAGTACGCACTGATGAGGAGAGGGGRTATGTGCACAAACCTCTTGAGAAGACAGAATTCTTTGCTTCCTGGATGAGTTTCCCTAATCAAGAGGTTGATGTACAACACAAGATTCCCTGTCACTGTATCAGCACTGTATCCAGCTGTTAGGTATCTGTTCTCCAAACTGAAACCTGTACAAATAATTCTTGAGGTGAAACCGGAGTCCTGTGTTTCCTATTAGGATGCTTCTCATGACTTATTTTATGGAAAAGTTCCTACTAAAACAAGAGAGACAGACATTTCTCTCTACTTTTTCCACCAGCTGTGGAAAAGAGGTATAGGCATCTCTCTTGGCTTATAGTCTAGGCTTATAGCCTATATACCTACCTCTCAGGCAAGGCCACAACTGTAGCTTAGAACAGATGGGTTTGAGTTCTGATTTTAGTGACATGAGCTTCCTGAAGAATTTCTATGCAGAACTGACTTTTTAAAGACTCATAACTTTCACAAAGCTCAATAGACACTAAAAGAGGCTGAAAACATCATCAAGATTCTTTCAGACTAGAGACCTAAACAGAGCCCGAATATCAGATATTACTTTTATACTGAGTTTCAAGATTCAATTTTACATGTGATTCTCAACATGGTATCTCTGATTCTCAACATGGTATCAAAACATTCTATGTGTATAGCAAAAAACAAAAACAAAAACAAAAACAAACAAACAAAAAAAAACCCCTCCATTTCCTGGATTGGTTTATGTGATGGAGAAGAGATGTTTGGTCTGTCAGTCATGATTTCAAAGAAATGGATAAATGGGCATAGTGCTTACAATGCTTAATTATATTTGTTTTATTATTGCAGTATTCTTTACYGGGGAGAACTGCACTGCATAGGAATACAGATAATAATCAGCTATAACACTAGTCTTGAACTTGCAACATGTTATTTTTCCTGATGTTGGTACTTTTACAGTTATAACTGTCAGCTTTAACTACAAATTGTTGGAGTTTTTTGTGGTCAGGACTACAGTCTTTTGGCAAGCTATCAAAAATCATCAATAATCATTCTTGGGAAATTTCTCCTGTGCACCTAGACTGGTTTAGTATCCCAATTATGTACATTTTCTGTGACTGCATGCTTGACCTTTTGATTAGACATAATTTTTCAAAGCCTGTCACTACTGTGAGTTACTGTGAAATTTGTAAATTGCATATTTAGTGATGGTTTTGCATCCTGCATCACAATGTTTCTGTCTTTAAGATCTTGATGTTATAACTTTAAGACTAGCACTGAACTGAATAGATAGAAAAAAAAGCTTCTTACAAATAACTCTTAATACATGGAATTATAAGGCAGTACAGTTGACAGGTACTCAGCAAGTTCAGATAAAGCAAACAGTTTAACTGGCGTTGGGATCCTAATTAGCATCTCCAAACAGCTTCTATGAAARCTAAAACACTATGAAGCCACTAACCTCAAAAAAGTGAAATAGCATGTCTACTGAAAACTATTATCAGGAAATGATAAAAGTGTTATAACTTCGGGCCAGAATGGAACGCTTTGTGAGCCTGTCTAAATGTGAGTATATGTCAGAGCAATCAAATTCCATTCTACTGTTCTGTATAACTCATGTTTGGATGAAGCATAACCTCTGCAAAAGCATCAGGTTATGACCAGAAGATATTATATGTGTTTATCAAGAAATGCAGACCAAGCTTGGCTAATGAGAGATATTTCAATGGTTAATCAAACTAAAATTATGCTAAATTATGTGTTTCTTATTAAAAATTAAATATAGACATATTCGAAGGATAATAAATAATGTTCAACAGCCTTGCTTTTGCTGACTTTTGTTAAGGTAGCACAGATGTGAAAATGTATCTAGCTTTACTAGACATATGAGAAGCAGTGTACATTATCATTGCTCTATGCTGTATCACAACAGAAAGCTTCTAATCTGGAACTAACTTGTATTGGACCAGAGACAGATAAAACACTGAACTTTTCCTGCACAAGCCTACTGACCTATATATGAAGTCCTTTCATAACTAGCTTCATAACTAGCTCTTTGCTAGCACTTTGAAGAATAAGCTAGGAAGAATGAATATCTAATAAGGAGCTCCCAGACAAGTAGGAAGTGCAGAATATTTTCACTTCTACAAGAGAGGAAAAATAGACCAAAGGTCATCCTTCTCTACGAGCTGATATAACAGAGATAGTGAACTACTGGCAGTGGTTCAAGTTTGCTGTCAACAAAGATCTGGTCTGGCACCAATTACAACGAACTGCAATGGTTTTTAAAATAAATTTGGCACCAGACATCAAAGAAGGTTTTCTATCGGTGTGTTAGATCGTTACAAGTCTGAAAGACTTTGGATCAAGTCCCAGATATGTGCAAAGTTTGATTTCAAGGGTGGCATCAAAGGGAATGAGATCTCTAAGGATAGTGAAGGTCACATGGAGGGTACCTCCAAAGCTCTGGCTTACAGAAGTATTTGTATAGCTATGATTTTATGCAAATATTGATATCCACATTCATACTCTCCATCATTACTGCCAGTGTTCGTGTTAGGACCCTCTTCATACAGGAGCCAAAGCACAAGAACAAGAGTGTTTCAAATATTTATAGTACAACAAAAATTCTGTGCTTATGGTAGGTAAGGAGTGATATAAAGGAGTATTTAAAAAAAAAAAAAAAAAAGAGAGAGAGAGAGAAAAGAAAATAGGCAAAGGAATTATAATTGCTATTCACTCAACCAATGGAGAGATGAGATTTTGTATGCTTACTTAAGATGCCATAGAAAGCTGTGGGTCCAAGTCTCTGGAGTTCCCAGCCAAGACAGGAATGATAAAAGTAATTTTATTCCTTGGAAGATCTTTGCAATTTTATATGTCTGCATTATGCAAAAGATACATATGATAATATATGTTGTATATTGCTAAATATAAAAATAGATAAATAACACACAGAAAATGTACAAGCAATCCTTCAGATTGTTGCTTGATTTTTGAAATTGGAAKAGAACAGGACCTTGGTGAAAAATATGGTCCATTTGAATGCTGTTCTTTTTAGAATGAACATCTCATGTGCATTGCAAGGTCATTTTTTTTTATTACTTTGATTGTCAATAAGAAAATGCAAAAATTTTTTGTAATTGCAAAAGATATTTTATGTCCACTCACCTTGTTTTTCTTTGAGGGACTCTAAWCATGCAAATTAGTACTGAATATCTGAGGAATGACTGAGATTTCATACAAGAAGGGATTTATCTCTGAGTCTAGTTTTGCTTCTTTTTAGAAAACATATTCATATTACAAACTGTGAAAAAAAAAAAGGAATGGCAACGAAATAAAACTCCCAAAATTTTCTAGATTGAAAAATGAAAAAGCTCTGTGAWATCTTCTCCAAAGCTATTGATTTTATGAAACATCTCAATCACAATCTAGTGATTCATCTTGTTTACTGGAGAAAGAATAAAAATCAGAAATTTGCCTCCACTCTTGTACTTTCACTAAATTATGACTTGTGCCTTAGATTAATTGAGATAGAGACTTCAGTTTAAAAGGAAAGGTCAAAGGCTAATCAGCACAGAGTTAAAGGCAACTTAATGAGGAAAATGGATAATAATRAATCAATGAATCTCACAATTCCAGRAATTTCACTTTGTCTATATCTCAGGAATTAAACTTAGATATAAGAGAAATATATCGCTCCCCACTTTTGTTGATAATGTTGTGGGCCCATCAAGCACACCCTAGGTACTGCTGAGTGAAATCAGTGTTTGAAAGAATGCTGAGGAAACAAGAAAAGGGCTTTGATATTTGTATTCAGAGGAACTAAGGAGCTAATCCCCAGTGAGGCCATGTTTCCAAACGTGCTAGGTCAAGCTCCACTTATTCTAGTTTCTCATTCTTTACAAGCAAGCAATCCAGCAAAAAGAACTTACATTAATTTGTCATACTCTACACACAGATCTCAAGGCMGAGAGCATAGTTTGAGAGTAAAAGTTAAATCTTCCATCTAAAAACCAGGAGGAGGGCAACAAACTTCAAGAGTGTGTCCAGAAGGGACCAAGACAGTTGGACAAAAGCTTAAAAGGCCGTCATCTTTCCTCATAYTCATCTATGGCCAAATAAGGAAGAAGAGGGAAAGAGGTCAATTTATAGAAACCACTGCTTCTGAAATGGTTTTGTATCCCTGAACTGTTATATATTGTGAGAGAACAATTGCTATCAAATAGAAAAGGATTTAACTCATATCTCACTGTAAAGGAACAAAGCTCAGTATGTTCAGTTGATCTCTGAAGAGTTAAGAAGTGTTATTAATATTCCTTTTATGTAAATAAATTCTCAAATAGCTTCTGTGACTATTTATATSCATTTTCTACTATGTAGGATAGCCTTTCCTGAATTACCCATAAGAAGATAAATGTGTGTTATATCCATTCACAGTAGTGGAACAAGCACTTGAAAATAAGAAGATTGCTTACGGTAAACTTTATGACACTACTGGCATAGGGATAGTAACATTCACTTACAAGAAAGGAGCAGAGTGAAAGACTCTGAAACCTTTGTCTAGTGGTCAGGGCACTGTGGATCTCAAAACTCATATTTCTTTAGAGGGACTTTATTCTTTCATTGAAATAAGAATAAATGAAAAACATATTGAGGGAATTAAAAAAAAAAAAAGAAATATTTCAAAGCATTCTTTATCCATAATCAGGATGGTTAAGGCAGGATCAGTAGTTCTGATGGCTTCTGTTGCTGCCGAATGTTTCCAGAATTATCTAGCAAGGACATAAATGAAAAGGGAAGACAGAGTCTGCTCCTTTTCATACTCATATCTCTCCACTTCAGCTGCCAGCATGTCAATCAGCTGTGGCTGATCATAGCCGTCTTCTATGATGGTCATTTCATCTACAAAAATAATATTTCTATAATGTTACAGGCTCTCCAGTAGGATTTTGGCTTACACCATCCTTCTTCCATAGATCACTGACTAGACTTTAAATGACACTTTTGGTCACTACTTAATAGTATCGTGTTTGAGACAGTGATGCAAAATGCAGCTTCTAAAGAGTAATAAAAAATAGATTTTTTTTTTTACTGCCATTGAATGCACAGAATCACAGAATGGTTAAGGTTGGAAGGGACCTCTAGAGATCATCTAGTCCAATCCCCCTGCTCTAGCATGGCCACCTACAGCACAGGGCACAGGGTGGCATCCAGGTGCCAGAAAACTTAGTACAGAAAACTTAGTGAGGCATAGGTATTAATCCTCCAGATTTCTTCACCTAGAGTGACTCTACAGTCTATAATTGGAGGGGGAGAGGGAAAGTTGKTTTTTTTCTCTTGGAGATAAACATGACTTTTATGTTAATTCCCAGAATTTCAATGTCTACAAATAGATCTATCATCTCATAGAACCATAGAATCATAGAATGCCCAAGGTTGGAAGGGACCTCAGAGGTCATCGAGTCCAACCCCCCTGCTCACGCAGGGTCACCTAGAGCACGTGGCACAGGGCTGCATCCAAGCGGGTTTTAAAGATCTCCAAAGAAGGAGACTCCACMACCTCTCTGGGCAGCCTGTTCCAGGGCTCTGTCACCCTCACTGTCAAAAAGTGTTTTCTCAAGCTCCTGTGGAACTTTTGGTGCCTCTACTTGTGGCTGTTTCTTCTAGTCCTATTGCTGGCCACCACTGAAAAGAGGCCGGCCCCATCCTCCTCCCTCCCTCCCTTGAGGTATTTATAGACACTGATCAGGTCCCCCCTCAGCCTTCTCTTCTCCAGGCTGAACAGGCCCAGCTCTCTCAGCCATCTCATTTCCAATCATATATTCTGTGCTACACATTGTGCCACAAAATAAATAATACATAAATATTTTTTTACTTCACCTCTCTGTAGTTGTCACTGACTCTATCCAAGCTGAGGGAATACAAGAGGTCTCTTCCTCCCACAAATAGTCGCTCTTGATACTCATCCAGCAGCATGATGTGAAGACCCAGATATCCAAATGGGCTGTGAAAGACTGACGTCCTATTTAAATCCCAGAGCTCTGAAATACAACCAGAGTGTGCGTGATAAATACCAAACAGCTTAGCTTATGGCTTCATTTTCCTATCCTCCTAAGGAACTCAGCAAAAGCTTGTGGGACATTAAAATGCTAATCGTATAATCTTAGAGCAAGAAAGAGACACAAAACACCTGGGAGCAATTTTCAAAACCAGCCAGCTCTCCACAAAAATTGTCTGTGGGTCTTTACATCATAACCTTTGTGCTCAATATATCATGAGATGGAGAGGGGGAGAGATAAGTTTCCTCTTTTAACATTTCCCGAAAAGAAAAAAAAAAAAATACATATATTTTTAATGCAAATGGGAAACAAAGAATGAATGGATGGAAATTGAAAAATTACTGGAAACCATCTCTTTGTTTTTCCCTCAGGCTTGGCAAACTACAGGTTTTTATTGAAGGTTCAGTGATGTTCTGGGTTTGTTTATGGGGCTGTATGATTGCTTGCTTTAAGTCCAGTACTATCTCCACTAAATTCTCTGAATGTATTAGCACTTAAATCATCAAGAACAGTATAAATCCTGTAAAATTAAAATTAATATTTTTGAAGTGATTGCTGATTTTTCCAAGAAATGTGCTAAGCAGTTAAGGGGAGCTGGGGCTTAACTGTACATGATCCAGGGTCAAATTGCTTCCACAGAGAAAGGGAAATTCATCCTGGGTAATGTTGCAGAAACTTGGAAACAGGCTTCAGGAAGAAAGACAGGAGYAAGTACAGCAAAGAAGTCTTTTTCACTCTCAGACAGATGGTGTAGTCTGCCAGGCAACAGGTCTGGAAGGCTGGAATCCATTGCGCTGCCTTTSTAAGTCTCAATAGCAGCCTCAGGACTGCATCAAGGGAGCAGCAAAGCTGACTTTGGAGGAGTTGCTCCTCTGAAAAAAAAAATTAGTCTTGGTAAGACAGACTAAATTCCCTTTGGCTCAACTTCAGAGATATTATCCCTGAGGTTAACTTTCCCACTTGTTTAGATGTGGCCTAGCAGCTGATGATGGAAGATGTAGGATATTCGTTAACTGGTGAAAACACCACAGAGGACATCATTTTGATGGAGCCACATCAGCATCTACTCATGTGTTCATATGATAACCTTTCAACTRTGCACAAGCCGCAACTGCTCAGTGAAGGGCTGGTTCTGCATGTTGGAGGAAGTCTTCATATGGATACACCATTACAGCACCCATTTGAGACCATAATCTATATGACTTGATTTTCAGAAATGCGAGTTATTATTTGTATTATGCAAATAATAAGGGAGTTTAGTAAAAAAAAAAATCAGCCAGTTTCTTAAGTCAAGTCAGGGCCTGAGCTAGTTTCTGAAAGCATATTTACCTAGATCATAAAATTTACCAGAAAGGAGTGATAACAGAAATTTAGCCTTACAACTAATTTCATTTCTGATATTTAATATTTTCAGAGACTCTACGGTTTAAATAGCTGTCTACTTTTAATAAAGTCTAGGCTTTTTATAGTCTAGCCTTTTTTTTTCTTTTACAATATTATTCAAAGCACTTTGGAATCAAGTTGTTTTGGGATAAGGAGAAAGTCATATAGCAAGATCATGATAGAGTATAACAAAATCCATATTTGTCTGCATGTAATGTTCTCATCAGAGAATACATATGCATATATTTGGCAGAGATACACTGAGCATTGCATAAAAATGTGGAGATGCTGCTGTCAAAGAAAGCTTCTCACCTACAAAATCCAGCAAATAGTTTTTTCAGAAGAGCGCTACCCATTTGTGATCAGATTAGAAATGTGATAAAAGCAGAACTGGAAATATGCTTTTGATTCTTAATAAACAACCCATTGTTTTTACTTGCAAGAATATATAACATCCAATATGTTTCATTTCAGAAACTKGAATTTAAAGGTTTAATCACTTAGTAGTCAAAGAATAGACACTCTGATGGCTTCTGCTGATTTATTTTCATGTTGTCCTAGAGATGAACTTTTCATGAATGAGACAATATTTCTTTACATACATCAGAGATATCAGTCATCTGCTTTCAAGGAGAATATTAAGCATAATGAACAAACCTATAACTAATCATGTAAACTGTAAACTAGTTGCATAAGATTTGGTATTGCTAAGTACACCTGCATCTTRTCTTAAATGAAAGTTGAGAATATTAAACACCTTTCAAGATCAGACCTGTAAGAAAGTATTTCTAGGATTCCCCTCAGTATACAGGCATGTTTTTGCAATGAGCATAGAGACCAGCACAGACGTGAACCTGACATCTGCAGAGGCAGGAAAACACCAAGCAGAGGGACCTGTGGAATGTTATTTCTTTTGCCTAARTACAAATGCACAGTGGATTTCTGACCTTTGTGATACCTGAGATATTAGTATGGTGTAGATAAATAGCACAAGGAAACTTCCAAATGTCAGGACTCATCTAGAGAACACGTGAACATGTAGACTATCTCAGATAATCTGTAATGATGCTAAATGACTATTATGTCCAGGCAACTGAATTTCATCATGATTTGGTTCAATGTAGGTAATCTCAGCAGCAAAGCTGRTTCACTGTGGGAACTGAGCTGTATAGCTTCCAGACTTGCTGTGGCTGYAGGTCACACAGACCTCACATTTATTTCATGAAGTGTCAGCTCATGGACCTTTGCACTTTGCAGTGTTGAGGTACCTTGGGACATTAAAACCAAGATACAATTGGAAATGAGGCACTTAATTTCAAAATTGCAGCTTAGCAACTTTCCCACAAATCTGCTCTCAATTTGTGTCTGACCTTGAAGATGCTTATAGTCACAAGGGTCGCCTTGTAACTGTGGAGTCCTCAAGGTGTCAAAAGCTGTGCTCCTGGCCATACCCATATCCTTAGTTTGAAAGACTTATTTCCTAGATCATACCAAGCTTGAGCCTAATCCAAAGCCAAGAAATTCTTCTCAATATTCCTAGGCTTCAATTATGCTGAGAACACTTAGCACACTTACAAGACCGGGTGCAACTACAATTTTCCTTGAGAATCTGCCCAGGGAAAATATAGTGCTGTATAACATTTTTAGAATATTCTAGTGGCTTAATCAGYCACCTGAGAAATGGCAAGCATGAGTTCAATTTCCTTTTCTAAATGGATTGAAACCAAGATCTTTCTCTTACCATAAAGAACTCTAATCACAAGCTATTAGCTACTGGAATGGAAGGGAAGGATGGATGCTTTCTCCATTTCCTGTCATAGCTATACAGCAAAGTAAAAAATATTCAGGCTTCAGGAAAAGTGAATAAGCAGAAGCATGACTCTACTTTAATAGTTAAATTGCTTTACTGGRAAAGAATAAATGAATTCCGGGCCTTGTTCTCAAAAGAGTCTATGCATTTTATATTAAACAGTCAATGCATACTGCAATGCAAAGCCTATACGCTGTTCCAGAACACAGGCTAGAAATTCTGGGCTCCTCTATCCCATAGCTAAAAAGCCCTTTTATTGAGTTTCTATAGATTTCTGTGAAAAAAAATGTTTTTTTTTTTTTTTTTCATAATGTACACTCTACAAGAATCTTATATGAACAAATAAAAAGGAAGAGAAAAAAGAAGTTTTGTTCAGGGAGAAAATATTGACCATGCTTAACACTTAAGACTGAAAAGCAAACCCATCAACCCTACTCCTGTGTTTTAATTAAAACAGAGCTTCAAAATGCCTCAGTGTACTGATCAGCAAATTTGATAAAGTGATACTTAGCTGCTCTATTATACCATACTGAGTGCTTTGCCCTTCTAATTTAAAAGTTCTACACCATAAGTAAAAATGCACCCTTACAGCATGAACAATATTTTACTAAAAAAAAAAAAAAAAAAAGAGAGACTGTTTCAATATTTGCCTATTCCTAATTGAACCACTTCACTTACCACTTAGTTAAGAAAGCCTTAAAGCAAAGTCTGGACTGTTAGTATATATTTTATAAGACAGCTATGAATGGAACAAATACAAATCCTCCTTTTTTTCCTCTCTCTCTTTTCTTCCTTCTTTAAATGCATTGTATAAATCTACAGGTTTGTTATCTCTCTGTCAGAGCTTGCTATTAAATATTCACATGGATCTCACTTCACATACTTTTTCTTACAAATCTACTCTAGTGTTCATATTGTATGCTCTTTGACAAGGATACTATTCCAATGACAAGCATTCATTAAGATATGTAATTTACATTCTGATTTCTCAAATGTCTTAATGATCAGCATCTAATTCTTTCAAGCACCTAGGACAATTCAAACACACAMAMAAAAAAAMCACTAGATCACTCATTTTTAAAATTAAAATTCTTGAAAACTAAAACATGTTTAAAAGATTAAATTCAAAACCCTTCCTGGTGCACAATACAGTCGTCTATAGTAGACTTATAATTGAACATAGCTGAGTTCTACCTCTCCAGTATAGCAGGTCCTCAGAAATCAAATGTTTAATGAGAAGACAAACTTTAAACTTGAATATAAACAAGTATCACGAGAAACTCTTTTTCGCTCCTCCCTAAGGAGTRAAAGCTGCTCTTGCTCAGCTGTGATTTTTAAAAGCATTACGTCACCACAACTGCACAGGTCTATTGCTTTTGCCCTTTTCTGCCCTCTCATAAAACTCTTTGGTTCCCCTTTTAAATTCTATAGAAATATAGTCTCACCTCCCACACTACTTTAATTCTGCAGAACATTCTTCCGGCAAAGATGTTTTCCAGATGCAGGGCACTGACAAATGAGTCTGGCACTTTTAACATGCTGAGTATGTAAGGTGGACATGTCAGACCTGCTTTATCCCTTCTGGCCCCATCAATAATGTGAATGACCACAGATTACAKGATATAAAGTTTAGGTAATGTGAACATCTCATTGGCATTTAATGTTATCAACTGTCAACATACTCCTGGAATATAGATATTATAGTGGATCAGATTTTGTGATAATCTGACAAAATTTATGTATTTTTTAATTTTTTTTAATATATAAGTGATAAAGAAAAGCTACTTAT